ACTAAAACCTAATATTATATATAGTGTTACACTAAAATCCAACACTATATATAGTGTTATGTATAGTGTAGGGTTGGAGCATTATAGAGTAATTATAGTATAAAAATGATTGTTTAGTGTAAGGTTAGAGATTCCTTTATACTTGCTTTTTTTTTGCCCAATGTTTTCAACTTCATCGAATCCTAGCCGGTGTACGATGTGCCATTTTTTTCAACATATATTACCATCTAAACATGCGAAAAAATGATTTGGGGCAACATGCAATGAATGTTATAACTATAACTAAGCTAGCGTCCTATTCTTTTTTTTCCACTTTCATATTTATTTTGTATTTGTTTATATGGAACAAATTTTGTGTGCAACACGGTCCTATATATATATATATATATATATATATATATATATATATATATATATATATATATATATATATATATATATATATATATATATATATATATATATATATATATATATATATATATATATATCACTATTGTAAAAATTCCGACTAGGTTCCGATTAATCCCTAGGCGCTATTCGACCGATTAGAGGGCGCCTAGCGATTAATCCTTGCATACATAATGAGTGGAACATTATAAAACGAAGAAATTTTAACATTTTGAAGAAGTTTTATATTAATGGAAATTATTTGAGGCATGATTAGTGTTGTATTAATCATATTAACCTATTTTGTTATCATATTACTGGTATTTACGAACTTTGATATGATATTAGTCATATTTATTTTTCTTAAATTCCAAAAATTAGCAATTAATGGTACCCGGTTAATCTCCGTCTAGCCGATTAATCCATTGATCCCAGTCCACTGACTAGCTAACGTTAAACGTTTTTTGCAACCTTGATTAAAATTCAAATGAGTAGAAATAGCAAGATATGTGTGGAGTCCTATATAAATTCTTCAAAAAAATCAGTATGGAGACAAAGGATACTCAAATATATATATATATATATATATATATATATATATATATATATATATATATATATATATATATATATATATATATATATATATATATATATATATATATATATATATAAGTCCAATTCCGGTGATAGACAATTTTTTTTGTGATAACATCTTAAAAAAGAAAATTTTAAAAATACAAATCGAGCATAATACTATATTAGAGAGAAAAAAAAATTAGGAAAAAAATATTTTGATCATTAAAATTGAATCATGGATCTAAAAAGTGAATCATTGATCATAAAAATGATCTATGATTCAATTTTAATGATCCAAAATTATTTTCTAATTTTTTTTCTCTTGAATATAATACAATGCTTGATTATTTATGATTTGTATTTTTTTTTTCAATTTTTTTAAAATGTCTTCATGAGTTCTTACCGAAAAATGAATCATCATATATATATATATATATATATATATATATATATATATATATATATATATATATATATATATATATATATATATATATATATATATATATATATATATATACGGTTAGGTTCATGTGAAACGACTTAATTTTGTGAGACCGTGAGACGAATTTTTTTTTTTTTAATTTTTTTTTAATTTTTTTAGTTAATTCAAGTTCCAAAAATAATATTAAAAAAAGAATTTTTTGATTTTTCCATTTATTTTGCATTTTAAAATTATTTTTAGAATATGTACAGTGTAATATTCTATTTAGAATATTTCTCGTATTTAAAAAAAAAAATAGAATTTTTTTTATTATTTTTATTATTTTTAGTTAATTCAAGTTCCGAAAATAATATTTAAAAAAAGAATTTTTAGATTTTTCCATTTATTTTGCATTTTAAAATTATTTTTTAGAATATGTCAGTGTAATATTCTATTTAAAATATTTCACATATTTTTCAAAAAAAAAAACGGGATTTTTTTATTTTTTTTATTTTTTTTAGTTAATTCAAGTTCCGAAAATAATATTAAATTTTTTTTTTTTGGATTTTTCTATTTATTTTGCATTTTAAAACTATTTTTAGATTTGGTCTCACAAAATTAGAATGATCTCAAATGAACCTGAACCTATATATATATATATATATATATATATATATATATATATATATATATATATATATATATATATATATATATATATAGGGTTAGGTTATTTTGTTTTTACTAACTATTGTGTGCCAGAATGCACAGATCTGGACCACTGGATGGAATATAATGAAAGGTCATGATCTGAGGGTCTATGATAGTAGAATAGGATAACATGTACCATATAATCACACAAATTTGAACATAAGGGCATTCTAGTCAATTAACCTATATTAAAAAAGGAAATTTTCGGATTTTTAGGGATAATTAATTCCTTTATTTTTAAAAATCTAAATATTTTAAATTAATTTAAAATTAAAAATCCGATTTTTATTCTGTCAGAATGATAGAATTTTAACCATAAAGTAGTAAACATATTTTTCGATTTTATTCTGTCAGAATGACAGAATGTCAACCATAAACTACTAAATATATTCTGAAAGAATACACAAAATCGATTCTTGAACTAATAATATACCAAATAATTACATTGTACGATTGTGATTCATTGAATTATAACAAACATTCTGAAAGAATAACAAGTATAATTCTTAAAAAATAACAACATTCTAGATGTCTTGTGTATGTTTGACCTCTAAGCCAATTCAAAATATGCTAGCATTCTATGAGATTGATATTTTGTGACATTGACATTCTATCAGAATTAGATTGCATGAGAATGATTTTATACAAGGAGTCTTTCCCATCAGGTCTTCAAGCCATTCTTCCAAGCCATTTCGATCACAAATTCATTGCCAAATACTTTGTAGTGATACACTTCTAACAACTGCACATTAAACATATAATTAATTAACTACAAATTCTATCAGAATAAAGCAATAATATTCTTATATAATAAACTATTTTTTCAGAATGGAAATATTATAAAAAGGTAAACAAGGTCAAAGCTATGATCAGCCTATATGTCTGTTTGCTTCAACATCATAAACATAAGGAAAAGTCAGTTTGCTTCAACATCAAATCTATGATCAGGATAGATATTTGCTTCAACATCATAAACATAGATTGAATCATCTATACTTCAAGCTACAAGTTCTTTGCCATCAAAGAATGGTGTCTCTGAATTTCTGAAAAAAATAAAAAATTACAAAAACCCAACTCAAAAAACTTAATCAAAGATCAATAAAGTTCATGTAAACTTACCAGCATCTCCTCATTAACCGGTGTTCCATTACTAACCATGAATACAATCTGAGACTGTCATATTTCTCTTTGGCATTTCATCAAACACTTTAAGGGCGCTCCCTAAATCACCAAATTTTCTATGAATCATGAATGAAAAAAATACCAATTCAGAACCAGCAACATCAAATGAGTTACACAGGAGGGTATACCTCCTGTGTTCGGTTTCCATACGATCGAACAAAAAAAAAGCATAAATGGTTATGTGGCTTCGGTTTTGATTGAACTGATAATATTTGAGAAATATAATTACATACCTATGACTGGTGAGTATAAATCATTGTATTCTAGGATCGGTCCATGGATTTGGAACGAGAGAGATAAAGATAACGACTGTAAAATAAGATCGAATAAAGCCCGAATCTTGTTGAAGGTCCTTGCAGGCGGTGGTGCAAATAGGTACATGGAAGAAGCAGGGTGCTAGACAAGAGGATACATCAATTGTAGAAGAAAGCATAATCGGCGATGGTGAGCCGATGATGAATGTGTTCAGTCCCAAACATAACTAGGTCAAATATATTAACTTTATTTCCTTAATTGAATGAATTCAATTAAATCATTTCCTTAATTATAAGTACCAAAAGTCTAAAATACCCTTTAATGATTTAATTAATTCTTTATTATTTCTTGAATTCTCATTGGTGCATTTAGGCACACAATAGTTGCTAAAAACATTTGAACCTAACTCTCTCTCTCTCTCTCTCTCTCTCTCTCTCTCTCTATATATATATATATATATATATATATATATATATATATATATATATATATATATATATATATATATATATATATATATATATATATTTGAGTATCCTTTGTCTCCATAATTATTTTTTTGAAGAATTAATATACGACTCCACACATATCTTGCTATTTCTACTCATTTGAATTTTAATAGTGTTGTTACCATCCATATCGTAACAATCAAGGATGTGAAGTCGGATTGATATGTACTTTTTTCCAACTTGTAGTTTAAAGTTTGTAGATGAATTTATATTATAATTTTTTTAATTTTTTCTTTAGTATTCAGTGAATTACAGATCCTGAAGTCGGGATATCAAAATTGAAAATTTTCAATTTTTTAATTATTTGTTTTTATACTTTATATTCTATAAAAATGATAAAATATAAACATCTTATTTGTTTAAAATTGGATTGATATATAGTTTTTTTTTTCCAAAATATAGTTTAAATTTTGCACATGATTTTAAGCTATCATTTTGTTAATTTTAGGCTTACAGTCTCTCAAAGTTGAGATATCAATATGAACAGTTTCAAAGTTCAACCTACTAAGTAGCAAGTAATTACCAAAAAATAATTAGTTTTTCTAGGTTTTTCGGTTCTAAACTCACTTTACCCAGTTCCACCCTACCCACTGACGTTTCCGGGTTTTCCGGTTCTAGACCCACTTTACCTGAAACCGAACCGGAACCGGTTCTTATATACTATCCAGTTTCCGATCCTACAAAATCTGTTAACTTGTTCCGGGTTTTCCAGGTCCGGGTCCATCAGACGAGTTTGGAACCACTTTCATCCCAACTCTGATCGGTCTAAAGGAACTTCTAACTGCCACTCCACTTGCAAAACAACCACCAATCTACCACACTCAGGACAATTACACTTCGTAAAAGTTAATTTAATTTAATATATTATTAAAACGACAGCGGCAGCATGTAAAAAAAAAAAAAAAAAAGGTGCTTTCTTTTCAATTTTATGTGGTTCGTTTTTCAAATAACACAATCTAAAAAAAAAAAAAAAATCACCCACAAGAGAAAATAAAAGAAACGAAAAGAAAAGAAGGCTGAGGATGAGACAGACATGCTAGGACAAAGAAACAAAGAAACAAACGGGTGTTAGGCATGGTTATGCTTTTTCCTTTCCCTTGTGCAAATCCATATGTTTCTTGTCTTCCTTACTTTCATCAGTAAATCAAACAAACACTTGTTTCCAAATTCTGTTATTCTTCTTCTTTTTCATCAGCATCTCAAATCCTTCCATTCAACAACCTAAAACTCTCTTCCTTTATATGGCATTTCCTGTCAACAGTAACACATGATAAGTTTTTTTTTTTTTTTTTTCTCAAGAAAATGCGATTAACCTTTTATAATGAAAATGGAGAGGGAGAAAAGCAAAGTTTCTTACTGGAGGATAAGTTGGCATGTAGACCACCTGTCTTGGTTGACCAACAAGCATTTGCTGCCCATACTGCCATACATTTAGATGTCGGATTAGACTTTGGAGTTTTACAAGTAAATTAATGAAAATAAAGAGTGGACATACCTGTGGAGCATTTGAGTGAAAATAGGTCTGGGGGGATTGCAAAGGTGTTCCCTGCGGACCAAATATAACAGGCTGATGGGCCGGAAATGCGGGTCCCATTCCCATCTACAGAAGTAAGTAGTTTACACAAAATTATCACCCACAAAATTAAAAAATAAAATTATAATTAGTCAATTGCAACTTACACCAATGCCAAGTGGCATGCCATGCATATGTGGAGGGTAGTAGAAGGACCCATCAGATACCGGAGGAGATGCCGCCCTTACAGGTGCTGCTGATGGAACAAAGCTCTTGGCATTTGGGTTCAGTCTAAATTCCTGGAATCATTTATATTAGTATGATATTTGGTATAATTGGTACAACGGTGTAGATATATTGAAAATAAAAAGTAAATGAATATGAACCTTTGCGTGAGGGTTCAATGTTGATTTCTCAGAGGTGAGAGAGCCCATTGATGAGGTTGGTGATAATCCAGGGGCAGGGGCAGGAGAAGCATTTCCAGATTCTGAAGCGGATGATGCAGAAGCAGAAGTAGCAACTCCAGGTTGTGGTGTCTTCACACCCTCTGATACTTGACTACAAGTAGAAGTTGAAGTTGAAGTTGTCTTTTCCTCCTGAGCTTTAGACTTAGATTTAGATTTAGATTTAGATGGAGGGGCATATGCAGTTGCAGTCGCATTCAGTCCCTTATCACCACTTTCACTTTCTTTTTCTTTATTTGACCACAGACTTGACTCTGTTCCAGGGAAGAAACATATTTATTAATTTAGTATTAGAAAAGGTAAACTTGAGGGTCTAGCATGAAGACAATGAAATCAGTTATTAGGAAACCAAAGTCACTTCACATATATATTTATTATCAGCAAAAAACTAACCCTCAGATTTTGAACCATGGCTTTGCCTTTGCTCATACAACTGCATTATTAGTTAAACAGCAAAGTATTACTTACAAGAAAACAACAGCATATAGCAATCTAAAGAGTAAGTTAAGAGGTGAAATACTAAATCTACCATGTGCTTCTCTGTATCCGGATGTTGTTGACTAGTCTGATTATCTTGAATCCTGAAACAACAACAACAACAAAACTTAGTGACAAACAATCCAATGTACATACATATAAATATAATGACACAATTTTTTGCATACCTGATCTCTACATCCAAAGGACCAGATGGATACAACTCATTTTCATTCACAACATCTCCAAAGGTTTCACTATTTTGTGAATCAAAAACGTCCTCACTTTCATCATAACCACTATCATCAACCCCCCCGCGGAAAACCGATGAATATTTAGTTTCTTCATCCAGGTCAAACTTATCATTAAAATGAATGCCTCTTTCCTAATTTTTTTTTTTTTTTTTGAAAAAAAAAGGCATAAGAAAGAACTTACATACAAAAATAGTAAATGCCATAAAAACCATACCCGTACATACCTCGGCTAGATGAAGATCATGGGTGTCCTCACCCTCAATTTCCCTGGCAATTCTTAATGCTTCCCTTTCTAATTCTCTCATTTGAGGACCTCTATCAAGCTTTGTTGTGTACAGCTCCTCATTAAAGGTACTCTTTACTCCAAATAACGCTGCATTTGCTTCAAATTGATCCCAGCCCCTAACATAGTTATCAGATCAGTAAAGTGGAGATAGATGATAGAACATTATCTAGAATCGGGGCTACGTTTTTTTCAGTTGTTAAATTATTTCTATTTTAAATCACTTATTAGTACCTCCCCCTACAAGGGGTTCTTTACATGAGTGTAAGAAGAAAGCACAAACATTGAAAAAGAAACTAGTGATTTTAAGCAGTACTTGTATATTTAATTAGACATGTAGCAATAGACATCCTTTCTCTTCTCCTCCCTACCATACACTGAATGAAGGTTAACATGTAGCACCTACATAATTATATGGTGTTCATTGACTCAGAGAAGGCTTATGATAGCGTACCACAGGGGATGAATGGAGGCTAAAAATGGAGTCTTTTAAGGTGAAAATTGGAACTTGCTCAGTCCATAAATCTTCGCTTTGATTATGGACTAGATTTCTTTAGAGGATTAGGGGTGCCATGATGTAAGGCTAAGTTGAATGCTAGGTTGGAAGAATGGGGTTGCAGATGAGTATATCCATCATGCAAAACATTAATGTTGTATGTTATCAAGGTGATGGGGTGGTATATGTAGTCTAGGTCTTGCTTTCCTTCCACTGTTTCTACTTTCTGTACCTTATTTACCATCTTTCTCCTGTTCCATCTTTACTTTTGACTTAAAGAGATTATTTTCATAGATGACCTTTGACATATGAAACGAGAGCCCACCATGATGACCTTACCCCATTAATATTTGTTGTTGTTGTTCTTAAGAGTAGGTTCAACTAAATTGACTTTAACGATATAAAAACTAATGGGAGACTCTACCTAAGACCATGAACTAAGGTCAACATCCAACAACATCATTCACTACAAACATCAAATATGCTTGGCTAGTTCTAAAATTCACCCAATAAAAGTAGACTAGACGAATCAATAGTAGGAGATAAAGAACTTGGAACCTGTTCCAATGGCGATCAAATGTATTGTCCAATTCAGGGCATTCTGGATTATCATCATCAGGGACCCAAGGTGCCAACTCTCTTTCCAAGTCAACATGCCGCGATTGAGAAATAGAGGAATCTATCATAATGTCCTGCATTTCCTCATGCTGAACCTCATTCATCAACCCATCTCTAGTTACAGATACACTCTGCCCAATAAAAACACTTCATCAGTACTTATAATAATAATAATAATAATAATATAACCAAACCCACAGCAGCAATCCTAACACCTACCCATCTACCAATGGATACAAATACATTATACAACAACACAAGTAAGATGAAGGATTTACAACTAGATACTATTACAGACCTTAGCGACAATCTGCACAAGTTCTTTTGCGGGTATTATTAAGGTTTTAGATGGGGGCTTTTGAACAGAATCTGAAATGTTTTTCTGTCCTCGGGATGAACCAGCCTTTGTTACACGGGCCATTTTCAAGATTATTCCTGCAAAATAGGAATCAAAAAGGCATATCATATCGTTAGGGAAGTATGCATCAACCATGCAACAAAAATAAAAATACTATTCAAGGTACCAAAATCTTTTTCGGCATTTGTTGCATGAAAGATTCCAGAGAACACGGTTCCATCGATGACCTGGACTTCCACCTGATGCCCAATAAGGCATGCTGTTATATAAACTAGGCGATCCCGTGATGGGCTTTCAACTCCCCCTTTGTTTTGTTAACATGACAAAACTCAAGTTAGATAGAGAACATGAAATTTGTAAGACAATTAACTAGGAAAGAAAGTTAAACCTGAAGTTGTCACTCTGTTGAAGTGTGATTTTCCAGGCTGAGATTTATTGTCCACTCTAGTCCCTGTTTCTTTTTCACCTCTTCTACGAGTAAATCCATTTGCAGATGATCTGGGCTGTGCAACTTGTTGCGGGTTCATTCTTGAAAAGATCTGGGCTGTGCAACATGTTGAGGTTAGGGTTCATGTTATCAAATTTTTTAATAAGGCTGGAGACTCATGGTATAAGTTCCATGATAGTTGTCACATTATGCATTGCCTTCTATGCGGATCTTAATCAAGTCTGCACAAAAAAGGCATAAAGATCTGCTAGAAGACGCCAGAAAGACCATGTTTGTTTTGTAACCAAAGCCAACTAGAATCTAAGTGACTGTTATCCATACATAATAAGAGATCGAAAACCTTGATGATAAACTTGTGCTTGATGTCTGATATAGCATGCGTAATGACATGTACAACAAGACCATAGACCCTGAAATCTAAGTGAAAACATTAATCTGCTTTCCTAGAATTTGTGCTAAAAGATATGTAATTAGATAGACATCATCAGCTATGGGATACATTCAATATATGTAGATTAGCCACATCTACCAGTTCATCTTCGTTTTTAAGCCCAGCCTCCAGAAGGTAAGAAAGATCAATTATGGGCACAAAAAAAAGTATATATGTTTCAGGAAAATCAGTATCCATCGTAAAGTTAAGGGTCTATATTTTCTATTGTTCTAAACAACTTGTAGTTTAATATTCATAAAAGGAACCCAAATTGTTACTCACTGTGCAACTTAAGCAAAGAGAAAGCCATGCCTCACTTTGAACAATCAGTGATAGATCTATCTTCTATCCCTCATTTTTTTCAATTATATTCATCTGAATACTCAATCAATGTAATTACCTGTTCATTTGTCATGACACTGGCAAAACCTTAAGCCAGATTCCCAGATAGAAAATGTTGTGCACATTCTTAGCTTATATACATCTCATCGTAATTGTAAAACCCTAAATCATAAATGAACAAGAAAGACTCACTGGTTTGGCCATGGAAGACATCATGAAGAAAAAACCCTACCCAAATAATCAGATCATCAATGGCCACAACCTAACTTTTCATCATCATCATTCCCAGATCATAAACCTAATCTACTTCCCTAGTAAAAGTAAAACAAAATCACAGCCACCAACAAGAAATATCGTTCTCAAGTCTCAAAGATCTGCACCTGATTTTTTTTTTCTATTCTGAAGTTTAAAGATTAACATGGTTCTTTATTTGTTAAAGTTAAGGTATTTTCTGCATCTCCAAAGTTTGTAGAGCCTGTTGTTAAGTAATTTTAGTACAAAGTCCATATTTTCCTTTCAAACCTTCTTCAAAAGGATGATCCAAGAGCTTGTTCCAACTAACTATGTAATTCAAGAGATCCTAGTGTTTCTTTAGTTTGAATCTCTTGAAATCTAGTCCCTTAGTTGTTTTCCAATCCTTTATCTTCTCTAAAATCTATCCTCTGGCAACTTCCAACTTCCATGGGCATTATGTCATTTTAGGTACATTTAAAGGGCACCTTTAGTAGATTACATTTTGTTCAATATCATACAATTGCTTTGACAAAATTATCATTTACAAAAGGCCTGGATTTGCATTTTTTCACATAAACACCAAATCACCAACCATTCCAAATAAAGGGACTACAACAAAATATTAAGATTAAAAACCAATTATATTTAGGACCAGCAATCCAGTATCAGAGTTTCAGTAACAGCTAAACCCGCGTTTTACAAGAATTCAAAAATTCTTCACTTAGGCTGCTTAAAAGCAATGAAACTAATAATTCAAAAATATAATTGTATCAGAATCTTAATTCTAATATGTTTAAAAGTACAAAAACAATCATATGTTGTAATTGAACTGCTTATATTGAGACTGAAACATTGGCTTAATGGCTTAACTCCTGTTAAGGAGATAAAGCATCAGAAGATATCTTGATCACCTCACTATGCTCAACAGTTTATCACTGCATTTACCCAGTAAACTTTAAAGAAACTCTTTGTTCAGAGTTTATCTCTAAGTAACTAAACATCCTTCACACTTATGACTTACCTAAATATGTTTGATCTTTCAATCTCCAGGAATTTGTTAAGCAAAATGAGAAGCGACATGAGAAATCACAAGTGATATTCCATGTGAGACACTAAAACCAAAATGTGTAAAGTTGCTGCATACTATGTTGGTGATTAAATAGTCATATATAAATAATTAAGATGAAGGATATTCATTTTGTAGCATACAAGTGCAATAACACCATAACTAGTTCACTCACCATGGACCATATGTCAAAGTCGTTTAGCTAATTTATTTTCAAAATGGAGTGATACAATTCAAGATTGGGTTGGTGAAGGAAAACATATCACTATTTGCTAAACAATCCTCTTAATCCTACAATGATAACAAACTCACAAAGCACGACTTAAGTTCCACAAGCATCATGAAGATGTATAACTTCTGAATCCCGCAATAATACAAAATTCCCTTTTTAACAACAATAGCAACTTCCATTTATTTTCTTCTTGGGGTTTCTATCTTAAAGAACTGAGTGGATTAATGTGAGCATCGTTTTTAGAAAAGGATAGAAACTTGGTCATCTTTCCAAGCTTCTTGTCATTCAGCACTTACCGTAGACAACTAGAGATGCAGGTAGCTGCTTCAAAGGCAAGGTGATTATACAATAACTTGGGCACACACTTATTCATAATCCCCTATTTTAGAACCCTAGAACTCCCATGATCTTCTTCTTGGGTTCTAAATCTTGAAAAACCCATTCGATGAGAGATGTAAGTAAAAACCCTAATAACTAGTTACAGCAAGCGTTTTAATTCTGGTAGAATCATGAAATAGAGCCAGCAGACTGTAACGCGTGTAAAAACACAAAACCCGCGCATCGAATTTGCGGCATCTAAGCTGCATGTAACCGATCCACGCAATTTTACAGACTTACAGTACATATCCACACGCAATCCACTATAAGAAAAATCATTGATCCAAACAATTCATCTAATAAATATGCATGACAGTGTACATGAATATACTAAGATATATGCACACGTACGCGTAAAGCAGTAGAGGGGGTGGGAAATGGAAATAAGGCTTACCGGAAAGATCTGTGAGGCAAGGAAGTAAAAAGTTGATCAGAAGAAGAAAGTGCGTTGAAAGAGGAGGATCTTGGTCGTCGTGATGAGAGATCGAGAGCACCGGCAATGGTTGAAATCAACGAACGATTCTCTCTTTTGTGGACTGATTTCTCGGTGGAAATTTGAAAATAACAGAATGGAACTTCAGCGAATAGAAGTAGCGTGTGATCATTTTTCCCCCAAATTTACCCACCAAAGGCTTTAGGTTAGGTTTTCGTTTACCTCTATTTCGTCATACCCAATTACCCACACGCTCACCCTCTCTGAAGGCGCGTGGTATTTTCTACCTTCTTTGCTAAATAGAAATTTTATTTTTGAGGAGAAAATTACAAATTCAGGTTTTTTTTTGTTAACTATTTTACAAAAAAATAATTAAAAATTAGTATTAGACAAAAATAGTCATTGAAAACCGAAAATGAGTTTAACGTGCATGTTGTTTTCTGTCTCGTTTATTGTTTCGTAGTAGTCTATAAAAACCCACGAACCGCAATTGTTTAGACCTTCTGTGGTTTCCTCTCATTTCAACTGTTATTTCGTTCATTCCTCGTTCCTGAGATTCCAAAGAACGAAATCTCAAATTGGCATATATGTCATTTGCTACTTCGTTTCCTCATCTACTGTTTTTGATTTTTTGTATTAGATGTTGATTACGATTTCATACCTTTTTGATAAAATATAATTAAGGCATAGCACATAACAATGTTTAAACAAAAAAAGAATCGGGAAAAAAGAACAAACTGCACATGATAAGCCATCTACGGTATACAAATTTTAATGCACATTTTATGCATCAACGACTTGTACACCGCAGATGGCAATTGACATCTATGTTTATATTCTTTCTTTCTAGATTTCAC